ATTGAGAAATATTAAGCCATTTGGATTTTATGAAGCACACAATATACGAGAAAATGCTGATTTTTGGTAAGTTTTGTACTTCATAACTTTTGATTGGAATGAGATAGAAGTCTGAAATTTCCAGCATAGATAGAGCACTACAAGATATATGTTCCCTGAAAATTTCAGCCATCTACATTGTTCTATTCGCTCAGAGGAGTCCTCTGAAAAACCGGTTTTTGATGAAAATGAGGTTTTTCTCGGTTCGCGTTCTCCCAAGAAATGGATTGCCTGGAAAGTTGGTCTTTAGAAGTTGGAAGTACTCTCTTAGGGCTACATGCCCATAAAAAATTATCGTGGGTTCTCTAGAGATGGCTTGCACAGGAGGTCATCTTTGGGAGGTGTATCTGAGATGGTTAGACCTTTTTATAAGCTATGGAATGTAAACCTCGACCCTGTTTGTCTGAGACGGGGTAGTCGAATTTTGCTCAACTTAACATATGTTATAGAGGGAAGCATCCTGAGAATTTCGATGTAGCCCGTTTCTAAAAATATGGATCCTTTGATTATTTAGGGACATCCTATGAAACGTCCTATTAAGGTTCCTCTTCCAAAATGGGGGTTTTAATGCAATAATATCTCATGAATGGCTCAACAGATTTAGCTGAAATTTTTTGTAAACATATATCTCATTGAGTTCTATTTGCCATAAAATTTTTATTGAGAAATATTGAGCCATTGGGATTTTATGAAGCACACAATATACAGGAAAATGCTCATTTTTGGTAAGTTTTGTGCTTCATAACTTTTGATTGGAATGACATATAAGTCTGAAACTTTTAGCATAGATAGAGCACTGCAAGATACATGTCCCCTGAAAGTATCAGCTATCTATATTGTTTCATTAGGTCAGAAGAGTCCTCTCAAAAATGAGAGTTTTCAGGATTCGTTTCGCCCAAAATATGAATTACTTGGAGAGTTGGTCTTTATAAGTTGAAAGTACTCTCTTAGGGCTACAAGTCCATAAAAAATTAGCGTTTCATCTCTAGAAATGGCTTGCACTGGATGACACCTTTCAGCAGTATCTCTAAGATAGATATCATTCTTACACGAGGTTTGGAGTTCGATTTCTCGTCTCACCCATCTGTTAGATCCAAGTAATTTTTGATGGAGAACACGATGATCATATTCCTCTGTGTTTCGAATTTCCTTTATGTGAACAAAGCAAAGGTAATCATATGCAGTAGGATTTGTCAGGTGAAAGAAAACGAACTTTATTCTTTACTAAATATGACAATGCACTTTTATCGTATATGTGTATGTAATGTGTATTTTTTCTCGTGGTAATCACTTACCAAGTACTGGCATTATAACTGTTCTGTGATATGATATTTTTTTGCTTCATGTGCTTGTTTTTGTTCTCTGAAATCAGTGTTCACGTGCCCGTTCTGATGATAAAAATGCATGCGCCCAAAGCATCAAATATATTATCTTTTTTTTCACGTACTTTGTTTGTACAAAAGAGTATTACTCTGAGCATACAAAACTCAATTTTTACAATGGTCGATCGAAACAATGATAGATATGTGGAGGGTCGTGGGATACCGTCATATCTTCTCGATCGTGTCGATAATGATTCAAGCATCTATAGTGATGGCGCATCGAGGATTTTTCGTGAAACGGATTCATCTGTGACAAGCACTAGGGGTTCGTATATATCAAATACTTCAAACATTCCATATAGTTCCTCTTCGTTCACTATGGCATCGCTCGACGGGATATCGACTGAATTATCAGGCTCTGAACTGAACTCATCTCAACATAAATTAAGTTGCAATATATCTTCGGTTTCCAACAAAACAGTTGATACAACTACTATTAGAAGCGGCTACCCATCCACTTCGGACAACCGTTTAATCAATGTTCGACAGGGTGTGGGTGTGGGTGTGGGTGTGGGTGTGGGTATGGGTGTTGTAACAGCATGGAATATCCACAACCACACCCACACTCAGACACCATCCACACCCACACCCACACCCACACCCACACCCACACCCACACACCCACACCCTAGTTGATGAACGTTACTTGTGTTATTATATCACTAGTGAATAAACGATTTTCTTAAGGTAGACGCAATTGAAAACGTAATAATATGTTGACTCACAGTAGTTCAGTCTAGGGTTGCGCAAATCGATTGCTGATAAGTGTTACTTATCTCTTTCGAGCTTGTACTCTTTATTTTATTTCATATCGTTGTACAATTAATTTTGAAAGTGAAATGCATCTGCCTATGAAAGGAAAAAGAAGAAGTTGTGCTTTTTTTAGCACCAAGGAAGTAGACTTTTGATCGAACATCGAGTGCTTTACTTGCAAACTGCTATTTTGTATAAAAAATGAAAAAGATTATTCTTTTGGTTATCATAGCATTTTTATGCAGCCGTTTTAAGTTAAAATAAAATAAAAAGGTTGTGAAATAGTCTTTTGGCGATTAAAAAAATTCGTTCCTCAAAGGGTTAAACTAAATATTTATCACCTTGAGCATATTACATATTAAATCAAGTGTATCAAAAAGAAAAGAAAAGAAAAAATCAAGAATATTGGAGAGGTGTGATTATTTTGAAGTTTAAATAATCTGTTTCATGATCATATTAAATTGTTAATCATGGAAATTGAAGAAAAATTAGGTGGATCAAAATAAAACAAAGATTAGGTAAATCTAAATACAATAAAAATCAAGAAATTAGAGAGGTATGATTATTTGGAAATATGAATAACGTCTTTCTTGACCATGTTAATTTCTTAATCAAGCGCATTGAACCAAAAATAAAATCAAGAATTCAGAAAGTATGATTATTTTCTCTGACGATCAAAGTTCGTTTGTCAAGCATAACCCTTGAAACAATGTGCTGTATCGTGCCCTGACTATAAAAATATAATGACAATTAAAAGTTAAATAAAACAAAGCGATGAATTTATCAAATCTTACACCACCGCAATTTGCACATGTACTTGATCCAGCGTACATTTATCGAGAAAAACCCTTGAAACAATGTGCTGCATCATGACCTGACTATAAAAATATAATAATAATTAAAAATTAAACAAAACAAAGCGATGAATTCATCAAATCTTATGTCACCACAATTTGCACATCTACGGGACGCTGAACTCATTCTTGATGTAAGACTTTTTCTGATATTGATTTTGTTTTATTTTATTTTCTTCTACTACTTCGCCCACTTGTCTTATGCGTCTATTTTTCTCACTAATCTGCAACAAAGAAGAAAAGCATTTACAACTCGTTTATGAGAGGGTGTGGGGTGTGGATGTAGGTAGTATTAATTAATCATCCACACCCACCCACACCCACACCCACATCCTACTTAGAGCGGTAACCGTACCTACGGTTACTGTAGTTAGACCGATAATCGTACCTACAGTTCCCGTAGTTAGGCCGGTAGCCGTACCTACGGTTTTCGTCACCGTTGCACCCCTAAGAATTAGGCATCTACTCATAATACGACTATTGACACTGGAAAATCATGTACAACTACTCTAGCCAAAAACTAGATTTCATAAACTTGCACAATCTATTTAAATAACTTCATGTATCAGTTAACAAAGAGGGTGCGGATATAGGTGTGGATGTGGGTGTGTGGGTGGGGTGTGGGTGTTGTTGTGGATGATTAAATAATACTACCTGCACCCACACCCACACCCTTTTAATCAAAATATTTACAAAAAAATGTATTATATCTTGCTTATTTCATATTAAAAAACAAATTCAAAAATTATATAAATTTAGCGGAATAATCTAATGCATGAAGTGCATTAATCATACATGCATTTAAAAGTCCCATATCCCCATTCTTTCGATGTTGAAGACCTTCATTATAATAACATAACATACTTTTTGTACATAAATGACGCATTAATTGTTTTTCAGTATAAACTACTGTTGTCTTATTCCACCATGAACCAATAGTTTCATTGATATTTTCACCATTGTTAAGAACATACAATGTATCAAAAGAAATATCTGGTAATATAGAAGCTAATTCAATGCATTTATCAGAAGTACAGGCTATAATGAGAATACATTCTTTATATATTTTTGATTTAGCTAATAAATCATCAATAGTTGGACATTGTACAATTAATTTTAATTCTTTTATTTGAAGATTTGATAATTCTAGAAGAAGAATTTTTGCACTTTTTGGATTTGTATCAACTAAATGAAAAAATATCAGAATTATATTTTAAATATTTTAATAGTTAATATTATACTAAACAAAACTCAATTCATTCTGAGAAAGATAACTTGGTAAAAATTAAATTTTTTATATTAATCATAACTGAGAAGAGTTTAAGGTCAAATTTAGATAAGTTAAAAGATTTTTTTTTAATAACTCACCTGACATGATTATAAACTGAAATTACAAAGAATAAATGAAAATGCGTATGTCTGTGTAAAACTTGAGTAATAAAGGACAAAACAGTCACATGAAAAATTGATAAAATAAAGAAAAATCCTTTTTTTCTATTAGTCATCGATAACAACAAAAAAACATAGTTACAAACTTCTTTTTCATCTACCTTCATCCTCAATACATTCTTCATTCAAATGTTTTGCTTTTTCTTCACCTACTCATACATGGCATCGATTAGGCAAGACATCTATGTATTTTATTATTGTGAAAGTATTTTTTTTCTTTCTAACAAAAATGCATATGATGATTATATGCTGCATTACATTCAATTTATTTCTCATTTGTTTTTTTTATTATTAACAACAAAAAATTGTTTATTACTCTTCTATCATGTACATTAATTGATTCGTAAAGAATATGACTGCGAACAATGACATCATTAATGAAACGAATTGTTTGCACAGCATAGACTAATAAGAATTTCTTTCTATATCATAGATTTTGCATCATTATAAAAAGAATCAATTTTTACACTTCATCTTTTTTCTTTATCAAAGTTTTGAATTCTCAGTGTAACATATTTCTTTTATAACAAAAAAAAAGCAAGCAGTAACAAATACAGAAACATAACAGTTTAATGTTCTTCAAGTCACACATAAAGTATTGTTCAATAAGTCGAACAAGTAATAATTTTCCGTTCGATAAGCATGTGTATTGCACTTCCAAAAAACCATCATGAAAAATGATAAGATTCGATTTCAGGCGAGATCCTTCATAAGTATATCGAATGTTTCAGGTACTTGAGAATTATCACAGTCTAACTCTATGACTTGTAGATTTGACAATGGCTTCGCAATTAAAACAGTCATGTCTTGTCGTACATAGATGTTTCCAATGCATATCAAGATTGAGCTGTTGTAATTATAAGAAATTATATGTCTCCAGTGTAGTATACCGGATAATTTTTTAAGTGGCCAATCTTTTATCAATTGAAAGATGTATGATTTTGTGGCTTTTGAAAAGAGCTATCGGGATAGTATATATTAGAAAAATGGAAACTTCCATTTTTGAATCGAAAAACCTCTCGAAAGATGAAGAAATATCCAACAGCATACTATCTGGGGTCAGTTTCTGCAAGGTCAGCAAGCAATGAAGTACGGTTGAATAATGAATCATATATGAAGTTGAAGCCTCAACAAAGGGCTATCGAATCCATACTAAATTGCCGTTCTATTATCGTTTATTTTTTACCCAACGAATTTAGCATTAGAATGTCAGTCTAAGCAAAAACTTTCATCTCATACATATCATAGCAATGATTCAAAAAACTACTACCGGCATATTTTCATAGTTATTCTGGATTCATTTGATGATAAATTGTTTTCTTTCGATGTAATTATCTTTTGTTGTAAAGTGCTTTCATTTTTATAGTTTTTTGAAGATTACATGTCTTCGGAGAATATCCCCGGAAACTCGATTATGTCCTAGGGGTAAGAGGTAGATAGATATGTAGATATAGGAGGTGTAGGAGGTATAGGGGGTATGAGAGGTATAGGAGGTATAGGAGGTATGGGAGGTATAGGAGATGTATGAGATATAAGAGATAATAGGAGATGTATGAGATATAAGAGATATAGGAGGTATAGGAGATATAGGAGGTATAGGAGATATAGGAGATATAGGAGGTATAGGAGATATAGGAGATATAGGAGATATAGGAGGTATAGGAGATATAGGAGATA